GCTACCAGAGCTCCTCCATAAAGATTTACAGCCTTGGAAACCCTACAACTAAACCAAACTCACTGCCATGGAGTCAATTTGACTTATAGTGATCCCTCCTTGAGTTTCCAAGGCAGAATCTCTACGAAAGTAGATTGCCCAATCTTTCTTCCAAGGTGTGGCTGGTGAGTTTGAACCACCAGCCTTCTGATTAGCAAATGCCTTAGGCACTAGGCCACCAGAGCTCCCCGGAAACCCTACAAGAGCAGTTTTCACTCTGTCCTGCAGTGTCTCTAAGAACGGGAATCAACTCAGTGGCAGGTGGTTTGGTTTTAAGTAACTAAGATACTTGGCAACTATAAACTACCTTATAATACCATTAGCTGAGTTTCCTGTAATAACATTTATCTCACCACTGCCAAACTCAGTTTCCTAATACCAGGTATGGGTATTATTTCACATAGTCTCATATTGGGCAAATTTCTCTAAGTTCTATGTGGCTTTAAGGATTTATCTTTAACTCCCCGTTTCTCAAAAAGACACTATGGCATTTGGGGAAGGACAGTTCTTAGTTGTGTGGAACTGTAAGTGCATTGCAGAAGGTTTACAATCACTGGTCCTCTGTTCTCTAAATTTAAGTAGTTCCCCAACTCATAATTCCCACCCTTTTCCAAATGACTCCTAAGATGATACCATCATCAATATGCAGGTCAACCAGTAAGTGAACTATGAATAAAAAATGTTTACATAAATATAAACATCTGTCCCCTTTTCCCTGTTGCTAATATTGTCTTCCATTCCCTCTTTTTAACCCAGAGATTAGATATGATGCTTTGTTCAGAAAACCAACTTTGTCTGGTATACAGTGGGATGTATAGTCTGGGAAGTAGAGTAGAAAATTTATAGCAATGAATCAGGGCAGCTGAGTTTGAATTACAGTTTTCTGGCTATTCAACCATAAGCAAGTTACTTCCCCTCTCAGGATCTCAGCTTTCAAACTATTTATTAAAAAAAAAAAAGACTAAACTTTCTCTCTGGTTCATTGCAGTTCTAAGAATCTGTGAGGTAAAACACAATTACCATATTTTTATACAAATAATGCATTTTTTGTACTTTAAAAAAAAAATGCATACCTCTTCACACCTATGTGCACTATGTGGGTTATATGTATGTGTGCATTATTTAGGTGGGCATATTAAATGCAAAAGAAAATATGGTAACTTGCTTTTCTTTCTTTCAACCTCCATATAGTTAAATGGGGTGACTGCTGATACATATTACATCATCTCTCAGAAGCTAGGACCCCAAAGCCCCAGAGAAAACCGTAAGTAGTTACACCCAGCTGACCCTATTTACGATTGTACTCATCTATGGGTATTCTTGGAGCCCTGGTGGTGTAACGGGTAAGGCATCAGGCTGCTCTCCAGAAGGTCAGCAGTTCAAACCCACCAGCTGCTCCACAGAAGGAAAATGAGGCAATCTGCTTCTGTAAAGATTTACAGCCTTGTAAACCCAATGGGGGTCACTATGAGTTGGAACTGACTTGATGGCAGTGGGTTTGGTTTTTTGCCTTTATGGATATTCTTGAGTTTATAAGGAGCTGTGGTGCAGTGACTTACTTAATTACTTCTAGCCATAGTCCTTGTAACTCCCACCTAATGACTGGATGACACTACGCAAATAAGATGGTTTTGGCCCACAAAGTGGATTAAACAGCTTGCTAATAATGTAAAAAAAAGTACATGGCACCCTTGTAGAGAAGGGACTATGAAAATAAGATGTACAGAACCCTGAAGAGGGAATTGGCCAGTTTTGCCATCCAGCCAAGTTTAAAAGAGAGCCAATCCCAGAGCAGAGGCGGGAAAGTCACTACTATCAATAAGAAAAGATAAGAGTTGAGCTAGTCCTTTGGACCCAGAGTCCCTGTGCTTGGAACCTCCTAAATTCAGAAGACAGAGAGAGAGAGATATAACATGGAAGACAATGAGAAATAATGGCAAGAAGCAGCAGCAGAGAAACGGCAAAAGCACAGGCAGCAGCACCAGGAGACTGGCAGCAGATGGCATGGCGGGTTTCCAGGCCTACAGAACGAGAAAGCTAAGTACCTCTGTACAGGAGACCTGCTGGCAGAGTAGGGTGCCTCTAGGCACTTGGTGGAGCTAAGCTTGTTGACCCACAAACTAAGACTTATAACCCTTGCCCAAGAAAACTCTGAGCAGGGCCCAGTGGCCGAGGGTGAAAAAAAGCTATTCTGATTAAGAACTGTATTATTCTGAGTTTTTCTGTTACTTCTAAGTTATCCTGATCCTGAGTTGTATCCTGTTACTTCTATAATAAAACCCCATAACCATGAGTATGGTCTATGAGATCTGTGTTACCACACCAACAAATCATCAAAACCAGCAGAACAGATAGTGCTGTTAGAGGGATGATTGGTGTCAGAACTAGTAAAAAGGCTGGGGAGAGGAGGCTTGTCTGTCCTCTACCTCACAGAGATCAGCCTTGAGCTATTCTTGATTTTCCTTCTCCCTTGTGCAGTTAGAGGAGATCACACTCCATAACATTTTCACAGGAGCTAAATTACTTTATGACCCATTAATAACAGAAGCATCAAGATAATAACATCATCAATAGCTACCCTACCTTATGTTTATCTAGGCTAAACCTATTATCTCAACTCTGGCTGCACATCAGAATCATCTGGATACTGACTGCTGTTTTTTTAATGCCCTGCCTCCAAGCCAAATCAAGACCACATGAATCAGCCTCTGGTGATTCTGGCATACAGAACCAAGGACTACTGACCCAGACTTTTAAATCTAAGAAAAGCAAAGCATATGACCAAAGTTTAGTAGCTCACACACTGGCTGTGTAATAATCAAACATCAATAAATAAGAATAATTCAGCACTACTATTTATTGACATTTGTAATTATATACAGAGAATTCTGTGTTCTAGAGAAAAAGGAGAGCTCTATAACACCTTATTTATAGCATAGCCCTTTATTGAGGACTGTCTCTACTAGAAACAGAACATGACCTCCTGACACAATGAAGCACTTCATAGAAAGAGTATTATCAATCTGTCTACCTCTGAAGAATTCTTACCACTCATCAAGATGGTATAGGCGCTCTGGTGGCACGGTGCCTAAGGCATTTGACTGCTAATCAGAAGGCTGGCAGTTCAAACCCACCAGCCACTCCATGGAAGGAAGATGGGATAATCTACTTCCGTAGAGATTTACAGACTTGGAAACACCAAATGGAAGTTGCTATGAGTCAAAATCGATGCTATGACAATAAGTTGCGGGGTTTTTTTTTTTTTTTAATCAAGACGGTAACAACAGTGTTAGTCAAATAGTATAGAGCCTGAAACTCTTCAACCTAACTTTTACACACTAAAAGGATGTATGTAGGAAGGACAAGAAAAAACTGAGAGGAACATTTAATAAAAAGATACTTTTAAAACCTACACTCCAGGCAAAGACCTCATTTCCTATTTGTTCATCAGAGCTTAAGTTCACTGACCTAGGAAAGGGTTAAGCACTTTCTGTTCAAATTATTCTTGTTCTTTTTGAAACAAAAATCAGCCAAACCAAGAGGACAGGATAAATAATTAAACCATTAAACTTCTCTCTTACCTCATGTGTAAGGCCAACCCATCCTGCAGGCTAGAGAGCCCCAAATCAGAAAGTGTATCTGAGCAAACAGAAGCTGGTGACAGAGAGCCTTCCTTCTCTTCCAGCAGGTCCAACTTCACCAGGTTGCTGATCTCATCCTCTGAGTTATCTTCAGACACGGAACCAATTATGAATCGGGAGTGCTGGTTCAGCTCCAAAGGTTTGGCCAAGGGAGAGGGCTCATCCATTATTCCTTCAAAATGAGCTCTCAGAACTATAGAAAAAAAAAAAATGAACAGTAAGTGAGCAAAACAAGTCATGAAGACAATCTGGATCTGAGGACAGCCAACTCATTTAGGTTACAGGTTATACCTAGTATGTCACAGCTGGTCCCAGGAAGCAAGGCAGGCACTTGCTTGTTTCTGAGAGTTTGAGAACTAACTCTCTTGGCTATTTTACTTCAGGGCTTCATGGTAACTATGCTTAAAAAGTAAAAGTGAGCTCCCTTTTTCCCCTAAAGAAATCTCTTTCAAAAAACTATAAGCTAGTCCCAATTTCTAACAATTTGGTCATGTCCAAGAGATAATTATGACCAATAAAGAAGTCTTTACAGTAGATGAAAGATGTTTGTTGCACTTCTATATTTTTGGTTGCTAGTACTGGGTAAGGGGTGCAGGTTAAGGATTTGGGGAGAGTGGTGGTTGTTTGCAACTTGGCATTTAGAGAAAAGCACATAAACTATCATTTGGTTCCAAACACTATACTTGCAAGGCTATGAATTTTACATAAAAGCAAATTATTAAAGCAAATTCCAAAAGCGTATTCTTCTTAACTTAAAACAAAAAAAAACTTATCCCAGGCCATTTTTCTTAAATTATATCTCAAAAATTCACCTAAAAATATCTACTTTTGGCTCTAATATGCTGACTTCAATATAGGGAGAAAGAGAATCTACCATCAAATTTAAAATTTATAATTAAAGTAATGTAGGTGTCATCTCAAATTAAGCACCATTTTTCTAGACATAAGGCCTTAATGGTCAGGATCAGCATTAACTAATTAATAAAGATCAAAACATAACTCAAAATCCAGAACAATAAAAATAAAAACTAAATGAAAATACTTACTGTGTCATTCTAAAAGTCCCATAAATAAGCTTCGAAAACTATACATTAACTCAATATTAAAAAGCTTGCAGCCTGACCAATCATTTTCATTCAGAGAATGATTCCCAATTCTGATTTTGAGGTACTCTAAGATATGGTGTACCTCTTCATTAGTATGATAAACACAAGTAAAATATGTTTTATTTTGAGGTTAATAAGTTTGTATGGTATAAGGTATAAGAGCAGGTAGGGAACAGTGCTCTTTGACATTCGACAATAAAAAAAAAAATCAAGATTTTAAAATGCTTGGCAATCACGACTCTAGAAAATTATTTACTTTTGACAAAATATAAGGATGCTAGAAGACATAATAGGAACTCTGGTAGCACAGTGTCTAAGGCACTTGACTGCTAACCAGAAGTCTGGCAGTTCAAACCCACAAGCCACTCCTCAGAAGGAAGGTTGGGCAATCCTACTTCTGTAGTGATACCGCCTCGGAACCCAAGGAGGGGTCACTATGAGTCAGGGCCGAATCGACGGCATATAACAACAACAACAACAGAAGACATAATAAAGCACATTAAAACTACACATGATTATTTTGGCATAGTTTGTGAATTAGAGCTTATTCATTTACAGAGACAAAACACTATCTGCAAATACTAGAACAGTGGTTCTCCAAGTGTGATTCCTGGACAATCAGCAGCAGTAGAGTATTGGCATCACCTGGGAACCTGTTACAAGTGCAAATTCTCAGGACTGACCCCAAACCAAGCGAATCGGAAACTCGGGAGAGGGGGGGGATGACAGCAATCTGTTTCAACAAGTCTTAAAGTTTGAGAACCACTGTACTAGAGGAATAAAAGAGTAATAACAAATTGCTAAGAATGCTAAAAACAAAAACAAAAAAATCTATAAACATTTGCTAAAAGTGAGTTGAATATTACTTTAACTTTTTCTTTTTAAAACTAGAATCAAATATGAAAGGATCATGCAACAGGAAAAAACTGATGTCTAAATTGACTACACAGATCTCCCTCTGGATATTAGGTTTCTTTAGGGGAAAAAAAAAAAAATAAAGTCTCCAGTTTTTGTAAAAAGGACTCATTTTTAGAAGACTAAAACCAAGTCATTTTAAAAGAAAAGAGAAAAAAGGTACAAAGGAAGGAGAAAAGGTCAGAGATTTATCACTCGGAAGACCACCAGTAAGTACAGCAGCAAAAACACTTAGTACTTTCACAGTTTAGAGCTGTGAACTGTCAAATCTAAAAATAATGGTAGATCTGAAAAATAAAATTCCATCTATACTAAAAGAGAAAATAATGGCTGCTTTCTTCACAAGAAAAATAAGGGTGTCAGGTGCAGATTCTAGCTCACAGTCTGATTGAACTTAGATGACTACTCAAACAAGAGCCACGTGAAAGGATCAATTCTTTAATTTCATAGAAGAAAAAGAAAGGGGAAACAAAACATGGTGCCCAGACTAATAAATGCACTTGGCAGAGTCAAACGTTTCTCTCCTACCTAAGAAAAACATGAAGGCAGCTTTCCCCAAAGGGCTGCAAAGACTGGAAGCAGCTCAATGTTTATAGCTCAAGAGCCTGTTCAACAACCAGAAATTCTACTAAATGGAATTCCCAGCCAAGAGCCTAAGAACCACCAGAAAAGCGAGGTCACTGTATGGAAAATCACTGAGTAGCTTGAACAAACACTCTAGAAGCTGCTCCACAGCCTGTCCCATTTCTATTGATTCTAGTCCTGAATTAAAGACAGGTAGTAGTAGAATAGTACCATTAACACAGATTCCCTGTTCACTTCAGCTTACCCACTCTAAACCTTTCCATACTCTTTTGCGGAAGGCAATTTTTAACATAAAAGCCTACAGTTTAATATTTTAGCATATGAACATAAAATTAACATACTACAAACATGAAGGAGCAATTTATGTAACTGACCTCTTATAATTCTTATTGTCTGAGCAGATATCCACCTCCAAAAAGAACTAGAGAGAGAAAGAGAAAAGAGATTTGAAGTTTTCTTTTTAAAAGAAATCCCAATGTTATCAATTCCCGTTTTGCTCAGTATAGCACAAAATTAATAATCCCACTCCCACTAAACTGCCCCATAGGGTTTCCAAGGCTATAAATCTTTACGGAAGCAGACTGCCTCATCCTTCTCCTGCAGAGTGGCTGGTGGATTTGAACCACCAACCTTTTGGTTAGCAGCCCAATGCTTTAACCACAGTGCCACCAGAGCTCCTTAAATTAATAATACTCAAAGTAAAATTTTCTGATCAAATCTGTTACTTAGCCTGAAGCATAAAGTTTAGTATTTGTTATTATTTGTTCAATTCCATAAAACAAAAGCATTGCACAAAGACTTTATTATTTGTGAAAATATTAAACAGCAGCCCAAGCTTACCATTTCGTAAGGTGCCTTTTCCAATTGTATACTTCAGTGAACACATTCCAACCCTGTGATTTCCAAAATTTCATCAAAAAAGAAGCAATAGGGAGAAGAGAACCATTCAGTCAGGTTCTGATTATGTTTCCAAGTAGTTATACCACACCAAAGGTTGAGAGCCAGAGAGAGGACCAAACCCAAACCCACTGCCATCAAGTCAATTCCGACTCATAAGGACCCCATGGGGTTTCCATGGCTGTCAATCTTTACAGAAGCCAAATGGCTCATCTTTCTCCCACAAAGCAGCTGATGGGTTCAAACTACTGACCTTGTTAACAGCCCAATGCCTTAACCACAGTGCCAACAGAGCTCCTGTTATACTAAATACTAAGGAGTCTCTAGGAGCTCTGGTAGTGTAGTGCCTAAGGCACTTGACTGCTAATCAGAAAGCTGTCAGTTCAAACCCACCAGCCACTCCTCGGAAGGAAGACGGGGCAATCTAGTTCCGTAGTGATACTGCCTCGGAAACTCAAGAAGGGGTCGACAACACATAACAACAACAACAACAAGGAGTCTCTAGCTATTCTCCAAATCCTGGGTTTCCTTCTAAGTCCAAAAATGTTAGCATTTCTAACCAAAAAAGCCAAAACCACTACCATCGAGTCGATTCCAACTCACAGTGACCCCCATTGGGTTTCTGAGATGGTCAATCTTCAGGAAGTAGACTGCCCCGTCTTCCTTCTGTGGAGTGGCTGGTGGGTTTGAACCAACCTTCTGGCTAACAGTCAAATGCCTTGGGCACTGCACCACCACCAGAGCTCCTTGTTAAGGTATCTAGGATAGAAATTCTCAAAATTGACTATGTATAAGAAGCACCTGGGGAGCTTTTTAAAAAATAAACCAAATACCACCCTAGATCTGCTTCTCCAGACCCAGGGATTTCAATTTTGATAAATTCCACAGGTAACCGATGTAGATCCAGGTTTGAGAACCACTTAGAGTGGAAAAGAAAACAGAAGGAAAAGAATCTATTACATAAATAAGGAAATCCAGAACTCTTAACAGAAGACCCCAAGAATAACAATGGACAAGATTGGGGACAGATACATCCTATAATTATGCTAATTGGAGAATGCGGGTTTATTTAGCCTGAGCTAGAATCATTCCCTATAATTGTGGTAGAAAAACAGGTAAAAAGAGGAAAGGAAAAGTGATTTGAATCAACTGTAGCTAAAAGTGCAGAGGAGACAGAGTCAAAACCTAGGATGCAGGCTCAAACTCTGACTGCCAAGTAATGTCAGTGTAAACTTAAACAAGTCACTTAATCTGAGCCCCTTCATTTGTAAAAAACAAAAAGTGTATGATTAGGTTTTACAAACTATAATTGACTAGGACTAGTATTTTTGAAACTATGGGTCACCCACCAGCAGTATGTTAGGAAATAAATTTAGTTGAGTTACAGCCAACATTTTAAACAAAGAAATAGAACAGAAAACGTTAAGACTGCACCACACTTTGTAAGGGTAAATACTGTTTCATAAATTTTTGTGTCAATAGGATGATGGATGAGAACCAGCTTAAAGCCTAGTGCCAGAAAAGCCAACAAACGTACTGCCATCAAGTCCAAGTCGATTGTGACTCACAGCAACCCTACAGGACAGAATAGAACTGCCCCATAGGGTTTCCAAAGCTGTAAATCTTTATGGAAGCAGACTACCTCATCTTTCTCCTGTGAAGCAGCTGGTAGGCTCAAATCACCAACCTTCTGATTAGCAGCTGAATGTTTTAACCACTGCACCACCAGAGCTCCTTCTTATTCCCAGAAGGTGGACCTCACTCATATCCCTAACTTTCCCACTTCTCCATTTTTGAAAGCAGCCACCTACACAGAACCCTTCTTCTCTCTGTCCCTAGCCACCAAGGGCTAAATCAGACCTTACAAGTTAAGTGGACACTGTCCTGGGGTTCATAAATTTGCTGGGACAACTCACAAAACTCACAGAAGCAAACTACTGGTTTTACTATAGTAAAAGGATATAAATCAAGATCAGAAGGAAAAGATGCACAGGCGAGGTCTGCAAGTTTCCCAACGCAGAGGTGCCGCATATCAGAGAGGGCACATCGACCTCCTTTTAGTGGTCACAAAGCTCTAAGAGCCTTAGTATCTCCAGGCTTTTATTGGCTAGCCCTGTATAACAGGCTATATAATGCCTCCTGAGGTTAGTTCACATCAGCCTCCCAGGTGAGTTTCTTTTGGTCTGGCCAGCCCCCATGCACCAGCACATATCCTCAGGTGTGGCCTGAAAGTCCCAAACCCAGGCCCACCTATTACTCCAATTATTTCTCCTGAACCAAGAACAAAGGCCACCTTACTAAGTACAAAACTAGGTCTTTCACCCCACAATCAGTTATATGTAGGTCACGATGTCAGTTATGGTGAGAAAAAATAAAAGCCACATAAGCCTCATTCTCCCACTCCTTTCACATTATCTTCTCACTAGAGCACACAATGAATTAAGTACCTGTATCAATGGTTCTTGTACTTTCTTAGATCAAGACACTACTGGAAATCTAATAAAAGCTATGAAACTTTCCCACACAAAGACACACTCTCACACAATATTCTGCTTGTATACAAGTTTGGGATTCCTAAGGCCTTGCCGTGAAGCCTTGCCCCCTCCCTCTAGAAAGACTATAAAGCATGATGTTGACATTTGGGAAATGCAGCTGTGCAATTTCCTCCAAAAAACAAGGCCCCAGATCTGGTTGTAGGATATTGTTGTTGTTGTTTGCTGTAGGATATTATGCCTATCTAAATAAAAATTATTATTTTCTTCATTAAATTGTTGAAAATGTCAAAATCTCTTTTACATTTACATTTGTAAAGTATAAAATATTCTTGAACTTTCATTTGGGAAAATATTGGCAGAAGACTCCCAAACTATACCCTATATTCCTGAAAATGGGGCATAGCTGATTATACCTAATGTACTTATTTAAGAGTCAGCATACATTTCATTCAGAGACATTTCTCTAAATAAGCAGAACAGATGTTAACAAACTTAGTTAAGACATCCACCACTTGTCTGTCATTTTGTTGTACTGCGGCAGCTTGCATGTTGCTGTGAGGCTGGAAGCTATACCACCAGTATTTCAAATACCAGCATGGTCACCCATGGTGGGCAGGTTAGTCTGGAGCTTCCAGACTAAGACAGACTGAGAAGAAGGACAGGGCCATCCACTTCTAAAAAACCTGGCCACTGAAAACCTTATGAATAGCAGTGAAACACTGATATATTACTGGAAAACTATGAACAGCAGTGAAACATTGTCTGATGTACTGCCAAAAGATGAGTCCCTCAGGTTGGAAGGCACTCAAAATACGAGTGGAGAAGAGCTACTTCCTCAAAGTAGAGTCGACCTTAATGACGTGAATGGAGTAAAGCTTTCATTTACTGGATTCATTTGCTGATGCGGCACAACTCAAAATGGGATGAAACAGCTGCAAACATTCATTAATAATTGGAAAGAAAAGGGGAAGACCCTCAATGAGATGGATTTACACAGTGGCTCCAACTATGGGCTCAAGCACAGCAAGAATTATGAGGATGGTGCAGGAATGGGCAGTGTTTTGTTCTGCTGTACACAGGACCACTATGAGTCGGAGCTGACTTAATAGCACCTACCAATAATTAACATTTCTCCTTGAAGGGGCTCTATGTAGGAGATCCCAGATAGAGTAGGAGAACAATGTGGGACACAAAACTCAAAACCATTTAAAAAAGGGGGAGTGGGGGTGCAAAAATGGCAAGGAGGCCACATGTTCTGACCTCCTCTAACCCTACAAGGGGAAGGCAGGATTACCAGCAGTAACCCAAGGCCTATTACTGCAAGGCCAGACATGCTGCCTCCCTCCAGCCCTTTCACCAACTGTTCCTCCCAAAG